GAGAGAGAGAGAGAGAGAGAGAGAGAGAGAGAGAGAGAGAGAGAGTCACAACCCCTGGTGTGTGTGTGTGTGTGTGTGTGTGTGTATACATACATACATACATACATACATACATACATACATACATACATACATACATATATTTATATACATATTACACACACACACATACATATACATAGATACATACCTTGGCAACTTTAAGACAGGAGGGCTTTAACTCCCAGAATTCCCATGTATGCTGGCTGAGGAATTCTGGGAGTTGAACTCCCCCACCATAAAGTTTCCAAAATTGAGAAACACTGTTTTAGATTGAGGTGGCTTGTTCCACAAATCTTAACAAGGTTACCCATAGATTCAAATGCAGTATTAAACAGTTAAATCAACTTTAATCATTGGTTCACATTTAAAAGTACTCCTCAGATTACATATAGTGGATTCAGATTTTGGTTGACATGGATTTTTAGATTTCCTTGTTTCAATTACAATATTACCTTGTTCTTGAAAGCATATCTATTTTTCCTTATATATCTGTTGTTTGGCTAACTCCTTTGTGATATGCTTGCTGGCACCAGCTCTCATTGAGCTTGAATTCTTTTAAGTACTTCAGAAGACAATAAACTTTATATGCTCATCTTTTGTTTAAAATATCTATGAACTATAATATTTTAGTGAAGATCTACAAAATTCATGGCCTACAACCAATAGCTCAATAACTTTGTAGCCTGTTCAAAACAGAATGGGGCATCTCTGCTCCTTCCTGCAATAATACAAATAGAATGTCTTTTTCCTGGTTTCCAGATTGATTCTATCTCATAGTAAAAGAACTTTGTGGCTCTCAAACTAGGCTTAAGCATTTATCTTGCTGTGTTTTCTTGCTGTGAAAAATCCAATTTGGAAGGAAAATAGATATAAGAATGTTTTATTGGAGAATGTGTTAGATGAAAAAGAAAGGGATGGATTTTCCTTCTTTGCAATTTTGTAGGCCCTGCAGTGCTTTTTGCCAGTATCTTAGCTACAGGAAGAAAAAAAAACACTTTGATTTCTTTCATCTGTTTTCATAGAAAAGAGGGAAACACTCCTTAGTGGGTTCTTCCTAGAAATATTAGCAGCAAAGTATAATATTGAATAAACATTTTCTCCATGAGAGTTATGGATAGGAAGGGCCAATGGCAATACAAGCAATTATTTTTGACAATGGTAGGCGGCTTATAAATATCCAAGAAAGTTACTGAAAAGGAGAAAAAAGAAGGCAGAGAAGAATCGGTGATATTAATAGATGCCTGACCTTTGTTTTGACAGTTCCACAGTCCACCCAACGTGCCCTCCACTTCTGTGCACCAAGGAAGAGCCACAGACGTCTACCACACCTCTCCGCATCCTAGCTGAATCACAGGACTCCTTTGAGAGACATATCCGGAACATCTTGTGTCGCACCTCTGCAAATCCATTGTTGCTGAAGTACATCATCTTTCTCTTTGTGGAAAACCAATTTGACATAAAGTGGATTTGTTGTTGTTGCTAGCTTGCTGCTTTTCCTCACCAATGTGCTAAGATAGACCCTTTTCCATGCCTTGGGGAGAGCTTGTGTGTTGTTGCCTGTTCTTTGTTTTGGCTGTTGGTTTTTGTTGCTGCAATTGGCAAACTGCATCTTGTTTGGGATGGACCACCAGAGCTTGATCTTTTCAGTGGACTCACGATCAGGCTTTTCTTTTTCAGGCTGAAAATCTCCCATTCTATATTTGGCTGTTTTTGCATCTTTTCTGCTATTGCCCTAAATCTGTTCTTTTTCTTTCATGCAAGGCTAGTAAGAGATTTAGAGAGTAGAAGCCATCTTGCTGGTTCTCACTGAATTATTATGCTTGTAGAATAGTGTCTTCTGGTGGACTAAGGGGTGGAGGAATTGATTTAGGGAACTTTATCAAACATTGATTTCAATATTCTTTGCTCTCTTTGAGTACTTTAGATGAGGTGCTCAATATCTATCTATCTATCTATCTATCTATCTATCTATCTATCTATCTATCTATCTATCTATCTATCTATCTATCTATCTATCATCCATTTCATACTTTTAAACTGTCCATCTCCCTCAGAGATGTTTATATATACGTACGTACATACGTACGTATGTATGTATGTATGTATATGTATATGTTTGCCATGTAAATGCATCCTTTTCCAAGCTTGGATGTCCCATGTTTACTTTGGGTTTTTTTTTTTAAAGAGCTGCAGATAAAGAGTCTTCCCCTCCCCCAGAAGAATGCCTTCAGCTTCTAAGCAGAGCCACACAAGTTTTCCGGGAAGAATATATTCTAAAACAGGACCTGGCTCGAGAAGAAATCCAGCGAAGGTAACCATGGCTTTCTTTCTTTTTAAATGTAGCAAGCCATTTCAGTATTTTCTTACAGTGACTAAAATGAGGGTTTAGGGGTCTTAAGATTCTGCTGCCCTAAATAAAATAAGATAATTCAAAGGGCCACTAAATTTTTTTACTGGATCCAATGTTTCAGAAAAGGGCACTTAAATGATTTCCAACATGTATATAACAATATTTATAGAAATAAACTATTCTGCCTGTTTGTTAACAAAAAACTTCAGTAAAGGTCTAAAATTGAATTTTGAACCATCTTTTATTTACTGCCTGCCCTAATCTTGATTTTCTGCTGACTTAAGTGTAATACAACTGATAAACCTACATATTACTTTAAAAAATAATCTGTATTATTCTGAGAAAAGCATTTATTCTGCTTCCCCAGTGATTTATTTATCTAACACACACTACAAATGAAAAGAAATCCCATTTTCTCCACATTAACTATACCTAATATTTCTACATTTTTTCTGTCCTTGGAATAGAAGAGTTAATAGTCGTTTTTGAATATTTTAATTTCCTTTAAATATTAAAGCCTTAGGTGTTTATCTTGTGCAATAGTGATTAGAGGAAAACAAAATATGCAGAGATTGTGGCATTGTTTCCCATCTAACCTTTAAATCTTTTCTCTGCCTCAGAGTAAAATTGCTGCGTGAACAGAAAAAAAAACAGCTGGAGGATCTACTCTGCTGTGGAGGAGAAAGGTAAAGGCTAACCCATTTGTGAGCCATCCCTCCTGTCCCCTCCTTCATTGATTTAAACCATGTAAATTTTATTTTTTAGCCAAAAAGAATCTTAGACTTGTTATTTGAACAGGACAATTTGTACTACTTTTAGGGCTTTTACAGTCTAAATGACAGACAAACGGAATTGGAGATGAATGTTAGGAGAAACAAGTTCAGCATGAGTTCTCACTGCTACTGGTAGTTCTTTATCTAGCTGCAACACAAGCCGTTCATTTAACTGTATGGAATAGCTGCCACCAATAACAATTATGAGAGATCCAGAATTAATCAATTTCAGGAGAAAAAACTTGTCTTATAGTTAGATGGAACGGTTTAGATTTTAGAGCAAAACTACACAAAGAATTATGATGGTTTTTCTGGTTCCAAGTACTGGATTGTCCCATGGAAGTAGCAAAAGTCAATGGTGTAGAATATTCTCGTACAGAAAGTATTTCAGATTCACACACATTCAATAGCTCGAATAGCTTGGGTTATAGATGATTATGGAGATATTCAAGTCATCCAGATCATGGTTGTCCCAAAGGTGCTGTTCCAAAAGGCAATGAGTCATTCTTGGGGGTTTGGGGGGCTTTTTTTCTTGGGGTTTTTTTTCCTTGAAAATGTTCTACTTCTCATCAAGAAGTGAAACTAAAGAAGCTCTCTAGATGAGAACTGAAACTTTTTTGAAGAAAAAAAACAAGGAAGTCCAGTTGCCCTTTGAAAAAATACCTTTGGGACTTAGGTTGTAGAGTTGCAAAAACCCATTTGTGCATGATTTTGGAGAGCTATTGCCATACAGTATATTAATAGGTACTACTGAACAAGACAAATTCACCTATCTTAGACTGGGAGGGCCAGGCATAGGGAGCAATTGGTATGACTACTGACGCAGGTTGCTGAATCTCAACCTGGTTACTTATTTTCTGAGTTTGTAAAACTGAAACGTACACTAACTGGATTGTTCATTCAACTTGCTAAACTATGAAATAATCTAACTACGCTTAACATGAGCATGCATCTGCTGGGTGCAATATTCTAACCATTGTCCACGGTGGCAAAGTATCTCAGGTTTATGGGAGGAAGCTTCTGTCTTAAGTTTCACAGTAAAGAAAGGAACGCATAGGGTAGAGAACCTTTTTCTTCTCCCACCCCAAGAATTGTAATTCCTATGAAGGAAGTTGTATACTAGCATTTAAGGAAGCCTTATGTTGCTCAGTCCAGGCATAGGGGAAAGCTTAGTTTGTCGAGTTTATTGTGTTTGGACAGATGCTTTTGAACTTTTTCCTCTTTAAGATTACCAGGCCTAACATTTAGGTGAAACTTAAATCAAGTTGCACATTCTGTATTTTAATGCTCTTCTGGTTCCTCGTAGATGCTGCTAGTAGGGATCATAGAAGTTGATTTGCAATGAATGTATCCATTAGAAACTGAATGAAATTACTCAAGGAATAAATACATTTTGTGTATTGTGATGTTGTAATGTGTAAAAACAAAAACAAAGGTGTGCTGCTGTCCTGAAAATAATATTTTGTTCTCTCATAAAGGAAAAACTTGAGGGAGATGGCAGAGCGTTTGGCTGATAAATATGAAGAAGCCAAAGAGAAACAAGAGGATATTGTGAACAGGTGAGGATATCTTACTATAGGCTCTTCTGATTAGTTGAAGTAACTGCAATTATCTAACTTCTTGCTAAAGAAAGTGTTGTAAACTTCCTTAGAAGCCTACTCATTAAACTGAACTACTTCCTAAATGATAATAGTAACCGACTAGATGGTTCCGCCCCAGGTGCCTGATGGACCCTGAAAGGTTCCTGGTGGAGCTTGGGACTTTTCCGGAATCCCTTGCTCACAGCTCGACCGAAGCCCTAGTGGAAGCCTGGGATAGGGCAGCCACTGGGGCCTTGGACCGCGTTGTGCCTTTGCAGCCTCTGACCCGATGTCGATTCTGGATAGCTCCCTGGTTTACCGAGGAGCTCCAGGAGATGAAACGCTGGAAAAGACGCCTAGAGAGTGGTTGGAGGACCAGCTGGTCCGAATCTGATCGAACACTAGTAAGAATTCATATTAAATCCTACTTAGTGGCGATAAAAGCGGCAAAACGGCAACATTTTTCCACTCTTATTGCGCCTGCAGATAACTATCCAGCCGCCCTGTTTAGGGTGACCCACTCTCTTACTTAACCAAGGAGCTGGGAAAGACCCCTTGCAG